CTCACACGCAGCCAAAAACACACACTCTTGTATCATTACCCTGATAAATATGAAAGAGAACTAACCAAACCATTCTGTATGTATATATTTTGAGAATAATTTTTGCTTCTGATCATGTCCATCCACTGACAGAATAGACGAATGTTGGATCCTGTCTCTTGCGAAACGAGAGCGGATATCTCGTATTCAAACCAAACACGATGGCACAGCAAAGGAATTCAGCTGTCTAATTTGGGTGAGATCAAACAGAGGATATCATTCATGCATTTATGTGAAATGAAAGTCTGTTGCCGAGATTATAACTAAACACTGATGAAAAATGGTCGTGTATAAGTAGAGTTTTGGGACTACCCGTAAATCAGTTATATGAGAGGTATTCACCCAATTTCACTTAAGGTGATGAAGGACTGGTAGTAGAATTTTCCCACAATGCTGACGTTTCCATTCAATTCCACATAGACTTGCTTCCCCAAAATTTGTTCTCATCCAGGCTGAGGTGGACTGCAGTTTCAACCTCGCCTCGGTCTTATCAACACCCCAAGCGGGAGTCGAACCCTGACAGTGTAGAATGTGAACTTGTCACGTCAACCACTCGACCACATGTGCATTTCAAGGAAGGACATGCCATTTTCCATATCACATTCTTTGTTGGGATTGTCGATGAAGCAAACTTTCTGTTGATATAACAATCGACTGCATTACTAAATTTTCGTATATCATCACCTTAAACGAAATAGAATGAATACATCTCATATAACTGATTTTCGGGTAATCTCAAAACACTACTTAAATAGTAAAATTAAGTAATGTAGTCGAGTTTTATAGCAAAAATACGCCTGCTTCGTCGACAAACCCACCAAATATTGTAATATGGGAAAAGTCCTAGCCTTCCTTGAAATTCACATCTGTCCTGCTTTCGTCGAAATGTGGTGTAGTGCCGTGGTTCGAGTCCCACTGGGGGTGCGAGCTCGAAACGGCAGTCAACTCCAGTCGGGATGAGAACACCTTTTGGGAAAACAAGGCTCTGTGAAATTGAATGCAAACGTCAGCTCTAAACATATCATTATGGGAAAAATCCACTACCACCTCACCCGAAATTGGGTAAATACATCTCATATTACTGATGAAAAAAAACTGCATAAATTTCCCCTAAAGTATGCATTATTTTGGTACTTTAATTTTCGGCATGTTTGTCTTGGTTCCGACGAACTCACCACCAGTGCAAGGTCGCCCGGTTCGCTGCCGGCGAACTCGTAGACAGCCTCCGCCTGCGGCCGCCGGGCCAGGTATTGCTCGAGTAGATGTGGCTCCAGGAGACGAAGCAGAAAGTTGCTAGGCAACAAACCCTCGGCGCCTTGACTGTTGCGACATCGCACCCACCGCTCCGACGGCATGCTGCGCATCGTCGAGGCCAACTCGCTGGCGGAGCCGTCCAGCCAGCGCACCACTTCGCCCTTCTGAAGTGGAAGACCAATTTTCGGATACAGAATAGTTAATCAGAACTGAATATTTACTGTACCTCGAATGAGATAATCGAGGGCAGTGCAGCTTGTGAGGCAACACTCCATTTCGGGCGAAACCAGATCATGTAGAGCTCAGTGGGTCGATCTCACCGGAAGACGACGGCTGATCGCCGTTGTTCTGCGGACGTTTGGCGCTTACCACCCTACTTCACGTTGGTACAGTCCACGAGACGTCTCCTCGTCGGATACTTTCTTTGAGTCTAGTCTTAACCAAACCAGCCAATACAAACTCCAGTTTCCTATTAGTGGAAATAGGTAAATCTGAACGTCTACAAAGAATACAACATTTAGGAACTACATTATGTGAAATGAAACTTTTTTTTAATCTTATAGTATTCACTTGCCGGGATAAAGATTTCTTGATTTTTGTATAGCCAAAAGAAAGTTGATAAGAATTCATACCATAAATACGTAATATATACGAAGAAAAGTTGGGTTTCGAGAAATCTCTTGTTTCATAATTGTTGAACATATTTCCTTTTCGAGTGAAAGTGTTGCGACGCTGTTTCCGAAGTAATCTCCTTCGACTCCGGTAAAAAGGTGCTAAGCTTTCGTGCGTCACATGACGGAAATCGTCAGAGCGAGGTATCATCGTCACAACAAAATTCGAGCCAACGAGTCAAGAAAACTCACCGGCAAATCCCTAAAAAGTGGTATCCATACTCTACATCTGGCCTCTTTGATCAAGTATAAAGTGATTTGTTGATTTAAGGTCATATGCCAACTTTTATGCATGTGAGTCTGTCTGTCACTGTATTTGTATGTGCATG